TCATCAGCCCAAACTATCAACTTGCCTTACAAAAAGATTTATTGTTTTAATAGTAAACAGTTTTTCGTGTAATTATAATTATGAGGACTATATAAGTTGAGTCACTGTGGCAGCACACTGATGTATGTCCAGAATAAAAATAGTGCCTCTTGTGGTTTAATTATGGCAGTGCCAGTGAGCTGTTGTGAACCAACCTAGTTTCCACATATTCACATAAAAAAGTCAAGAGTTCAGCAAAGACACCAGATTAAATAAGCAGAAATAGTGCCACAATCACAGCATGGTTTGATATGCAATTATAATGTTGATAATAGACACTAGGCAACAAACCATCTTTTGGCCCATTTATTTTTAGTCTTCATTTTACCAAAAAAAAAAAAAAAAAAAAAAAAAAAAAAAAAATATAATATATATATATATATATATATATATATATATATATATATATATATATATATATATATATATATATATATATATATGTGTGTGTGTGTGTGTGTGTGTGTGTGTGTGTATTAGGGGTGTCAAATTATCGCGTTAATTGCGATTAATTAATTACAGTCATATTTAGCGCGTTATGTTTTTTAATCGCGTTAATCTCATTTTTAATCTCTAACTTTACTGTTTCTGTATGTGAGTTGCTTTATTGTTAAACCAGTTTTTATGTGTTGTTGGGACAACAGCACACACACACACACACAAAAAACACATTTATACATTTTTTTATTTCGGTAATTCCACTCATTGTCGGAAACCCACACAAAACGCGCGCAGTAAGAGCGATGTAAACGTCACATTGGCGGCGTCAGTCGCACAATGGACGAGGTCGAAGAGCCAGTAGAACAGAGGCAGCAGTGCACAGGTAAAAACACATTCGTGTCTTGGAAATTATTCTCCCGACGTGAAATATAAAAGAAAATAACAAATATAATATCGCCTGAAAACAACCTGCATAGGCTCATGATGTCTTGCACTACTGTCCTATAGCGACCTGCCACATGAGGGGACACGCACACAAACACACACAAACAAACACACACCTTCATCATCGTCATTAACCTGAGAACGCGCGGACCACATTTCCTTCCGTAGTTACTGCGCGGACACCGACGTGCTCCCGTGAGCCGCGTGTGGATCGTGTTTTCTCGCTACGCTGCGTAAACCGCGCTTCCTCCTGTGCGCCTCTAATACAGAACTAACACCAAGACTAAAACCAGGACTAATCCAGTCCAGGACTAAACCAGGTCTAAACCAGGACTAAACCAGGACTAAACCAGAACTAAAACCAGAACTAAAACCAGGTCTAAACCAGGACTAAACCAGGACTAAACCAGGTCTAAACCAGGACTAAACCAGGACTAAACCAGAACTAACACCAGGACTAAAACCAGGACTAACCCTTTCCAGGACTAAACTAGGACTAAAGTAGGACTAAAGCAGGTCTAAACCAGGTCTAAACCAGGACTAAAACAAGGACTAAAACCAGTGATCTCATATATAAAGCATTTCTCTATCAATAATATTTTAAATATGGTTAAGGAAAGACTGGACTTTTTATTGTCTTTAAGTAGACAAAAATTATTATGTTCAGATTTCCTCGTCTTTGCTACTTTACAGCAAACAGTTTCTTATTCATGGAGACTTGGGCTCAACAGCCAATTTGGAGAGATTTGTTGAACAAAAAATGACTTTATAAAGTCACTTTTTTAAATCTATATCAGTCTTTTGATCTGCCACAATAATGTAATAATGAATTTAAATGAAAATACCTCAAATTGAAGGCTTTTCTCAGCAATTTTTAGGTGAGATTAAAATTAGATTAATTAGATTAATTAATTACAGATCATAATTAATTAATCTCTCAATTTTTTTAATCGCATGACAGCACTAATATATATATATATATATATATATATATATATATATATATATATATATATATATATATATATATTTTTTTTTTTTTTTTTTTTTTTTTTTTTTTTTTTTTTTACTGATTAACTTGGAAGTGCATGAAAAAAATGGTCTGTGTCGCTTCTTACAAGAGATAAAATGGGTTAGCAAGTGGCTGGTTTGAAGTAATACATGCAATAGCTCCGTTTCTCCAGCAGGAGGTACTACATGACCATAGATGCAGAGGAGAGCAAGGACGCTGAGCTCATCGGTGTCCCCAGGCCACTCGCTGACACACACGCACACACACACACAACACACAGGTCTTTGTTGCACTCATGCACTTGTCTGCATCTGGCTTTGTCAGCAGCTGCACATGCAAAACAAGTGTGTATGTGTTTCAGTAGTATGTACAGTGAGTTCTCTGTCATGACATTTACATTTATGTGTCATAGCTTCCATTTAAAATCAGGGTTAAATTCATGTTTTCACATTTCCTGGAATTACCCAAGACCGAACTGGTACTTAGGCTAATTATGTCAGACTTATAAAATATAAAGCATGTAACTATAATAGGTCAATTTGATCCTTTATTGCTGTATCTAGACTTGAATACTCTTCTTTTTCTCTTCTTGGAAGCTTTTTTTGTTTGTTTGTTTGTTTTTTTTGTTTGTTTTTTGTTGTTTGTGTGTGTGTGTGTGTGTGTGTGTTTGTTTGTTTGTTTGTTTTATTATTGTTGTTTTCTTATTTGTTTTGTTTTTTGTTTTTTTGTTTGTTTATTACAGGTTAGCACTACTTTCGCATTTAATTTCTTTCACTTAATTAGAGAATTCACACTTTTTACTACACACTAGCATACTAGGTCCTCTGTTTTAATTCAGTTGGTCTCAGGGATATGCATTCAAAATTGAATAAAAGCCGTATAATGGGCATAGTGAGTTGTATTATGTAACAAAAACTGAGATGAAACTATTGTTACTAAAAAGTGTATCTTATAGTAGGATTAAGATTTGGTGTCTTTTTAACTTTTTTGTGAAAACGTCTAGTTTCCATCATATCTATAAAGCTTACTTGGTTTATACACTGGAACTAAAATTAGGTCTTAGCGCCTGTGACCCAACTCAGACTGCCTTCTTTCTCTCAAATATGAGTAGGTGCTGGTGTAGTCAGCCCACAATGCTGCAATCCACAGAACTCCATGCAAACATATAAAAACAAAAATGCACACCTTGAACCTATGACTAATTGACCACTTAAAGCATCTGTAATAAAATGGAGACTGCATAACTCATTATGAGCTAAAGATTCAAATATTGTTTTTTCCTAACTTCATTATCAACCAAATATCTTGACCCATGACTGTGTTTACAGAGGGTTTAGTATGTCACAAAGCAACATCAGTGTCCCCAGAAGATATACATATCACATCCATTTAAGAGCCTTATCTGGCTATACCTTCATATACACTATATCATATGCTAATGCAGCAACTGTTATGTAACCTTTTTGGCCTCTGGGGAATGGTCATCTCTAGAGTACAGTTAGCATGTGGTCAGCAAGTAGCAGGGGCTGTCATACCAGATTAAAGGGAGACCATATGTTTCCTGTTTCAATTTTGATGAGAGGTGGTAAAAGTCAGTACTCTTCAGAATTACCCCATAATTAATGCCAGCTCCAGTCTTTGCAGGTGCAATCAGATTTAGGTGCTAATGCCAGCACAGTAAACAATATGGTATCTTCCAAATCAGTGTAAGTATAGTAGGCCACCCCATGTTGGAGGTATTTGGGGATTATCAGTAAAAGGTATTTCAAACTCTCAGATCGTGGACATATTTTGCAGAACCCCTAAAATAATTGTGCCACCTCAATAAAAACTGTTTTATAACAGGCCTATATGATGATTAGATGTGTAGCTAAGAAAACAGTCTGCTAGCCTATTACTCAGTTATTAATGAGACACATCTTCGTGTGTGGCTAACAGGCTAAGGAAACATCAAGAATATAAATACTGAATATGATGACAGCTCAATATTCAAAATCAAAGAGAAATTAAATCCCTGGTCTACAAAGGAATGTAGCTTAGCATTGCAGGCTAAGGATGGAGAGGCGAATGTAGCAGTCCATAGCAGCAGTCAGCGTTACCTTATTTTTCCCAGTGTGGCTCTTGTGCAGAGCTCATCGGAACAGAGCGACTGGTGGTGAGCAGGCCGTGGCTCCTCTGCATGAAATATTTCAATCCGAATTGTATTTGAAGATTGTGGCTATGTGTGTGGTTTTAATGTTGCTGGTTTATAGTCAGAAAATCAGCATCATGTAGGTTAGTCCTCTGTGCAGTGAGTGCTGGAGCGAGTCCGTGGGCAAAACCATTCGACCTGCAAGAGGGGTACCCGAATAATGCGCGGAAGTTTGGATTCTCAGTCATACATAAACCAGTTGAGATACCCTTGTAATCCCAGGCTTTAGAGTTTTACCTGATACATTTTCAAATATAATCCGCATTTTAAGAAACATTTTAAAATAGCTCCCCCTCAAATAGACCGATCCATATGACCAACTCAAACACAGTAGCTACCTAGCAACTGAGTCGCTGGCCATGGTGCTAAAAAATTTAGCAAACGTTCAAGCGTCTGTCAAGTCTTAGAAATAAAAGACATGCTTTTTTTCCTGACGTTTTATAAAGCTTGGTTTAGGCTATAGCCTGATAAACATCAAATAATCATAAAAAATCACACTTGTGCGACTTTTAAAGTACAGATGAGAATAATTTTGTGTTGGACAACTTGAGTGTCAGGCAAAAATCACCAAAATCCATGTCTGTAATTTCCATAGACGGTATATCTTTATACTGGCTATGGTACGTCTGGAGAGGACCTTTGACGATGCATCCATACATTTGGAAAAGTATTTTTATTAATGTTTTCATGCTATTTATCAGTTATATTATTTTCTCTTGTTATGGTTAAAATTTCCCTGTGGAAAATGTCACATGTCAAAAGGCAATTAATAGTTAGACCATGGATCGAGTTAGACAGAAGCAGTCAAATTCAGTGTACACAGAAACTGTGGAGAGTTCCCATAGCACCTGAACGTAGCACAGAGCGGCGGCAGCAGCAGCAGAGGCAGAGGTGAAAAGTCTGGATATGTTTTCGTACCACAGGAGGCGTACTAACCGCCGATGACATTGTAAATACTAAATAACCTCTGGGTTGCACAGCACTTGGCGGTTCTGTCCACGGTGAGGAGAATACATAGATGTTTATGTTAGCCACTAAGCTAACACAAGATATTTGTTCGCTAGCTAACAGAGGACTGTGTTAGCTCTCCGCCGCTACCATCCCCGCTTTGGGCCAGCTGTGCATCGCCCTCTCTTCCTACGATGGGAAACGCAGCCACTGCCAAGAAAGGCAATGAACAAGAAAGCGGTGAGCACTCCAGACACACACTCAGCATGCCTCTACATTCTATACATTGTTGTAATTACAGTGTGAGATTACACTACACATATTGGGAGAGCCGACTTGGACATTGTTGCCAGTGTTAGCAGATAGGAATACAGTCACAAGGTGCAGACAAGAACCATTTTTGGTAATGCTGCTCACAGGACATGCTAGCCCCTTAGTAATAATTTATATATTACATGTTTACAGAGAGTCAAGGGAAAAGAGACACTTATTTTACTATTAAACATGTGTACGCAAATTGCCCTGGTCTGACCAAACCTGTATGCTGCTTTGCACACAGCAAATCTGTATTTCTTCTCCTCATGCAGTTGCTATTTATGGGCCTATTTGTTGGAAATGTTTTTTATCAACATAGCACAGTGTATAAAATCCTTTTGAACAGTCAAAGCAAAGAGGCAGCTTCTTGGAACCTGATAACACAAGCAAACATTCACAAAACAAGGTCTGCTGTGTCCTGCTTACAACAGGTTTCTGTAAGGAGGAGATCAGTGTGAAGATGCAGTAGCTAATCCCAATCAATCAGAAGTAGGAAGTGTCATGTGAACCCTATACTGGTTTGATTATTGCTTATAATGTATAACTTTATCTAAATACCTAAAACAGCAGCCTAAACAGGAGTTACATTGTAATGAATCAGTTATATAATTATTACTTCAAATCAAATTATAATAGCAACTTTGAAACAAAGAGACTTTCACACTAGTTGTATTTTAGTGTAGCAGTGTAATTGTTATTTTTTTTCCATTGTATTCTTTTGTTTCGTTCAACCCAAATGAATAGAGAAACTTATAATTTTTGATTTAAAGTCTACTAGTTTAAAGTATTTTTATTTTAGAAATTGATAATATATAAATAATCTATGTCCATGGACTAATGAGTGATAAAATGCTAAATGGACAGCTTTTAGGAGACTGATTTTGAGCCAGTAGGGAGCATTATTTCATTGATGGTTGTAGGCCTATAATCTTCAATTTCAGGAACATCATAGTATAGAGTATTTTCGGGTAATTGGGTAGTGTTTATAGCCACATATTATATTTGCTGTTGACATCTTAAGCATTTGTATTAGTACAGACATAGATAAACAAGCACACTGCAGTTCTGATACAGAGTACTTGAACAGGAAGCTTAATTCTTTGTGGTTACCCATGCATTGCAAGGCACTTGGCTCTATACAGGAAGCCAGTGACGGTTGCTGTTCTTCGTTTTGAAAATAGTTAGTTTGGAGTCTGAGCCTTCACAAAATGGCTCAGCAAAAGGATCAGTCTTTTGCTAGTCGCTTCTTTCACCGATGTCTTAATAAGAGTCACCAGGAGCAGAGAGTGCAGGAGAGTGAGGTACCCCATGTTTCAGAGTACTCCATCACTTGGGATAAGTTGAGTAAGTGAAACGTTTGGCTGTATACTAGTGCTGTGCGCCATACAGACGACTTTCTTGTTCTGCTTGTCATTTCAACACAATTTTCAACATTTAAACCTTTTTACAACAGCATAATGTGTCAGTATTTGTTGTATCTTTTTGTTTAACTGCTACGTGTCAGTCCTGCTACACGAGTATTAAGTTTACTTTTTTTTGCAATGTTTTCTCAGCAACTAATCTGGTCCAAATTCCAATAATGTCACTGCAATACAAATGTACAGTAATAAATAAATGTATGTTATTGAATGTAGGTAATATAGTGTTATGTTTATGTTATTAGGTTCTCTTGTTATGTACTCTGAAGTGAAAAGCCTTATATTGTATTCTAGTTATATTTTAAACTTAACTTTTATACAAATGTCTTGTCTCTGTTATGTCTGGTCTCTTACTGTTAACTTTTTATGCAAAACTTAACAGTAAGAGACCAGTGTTAACAGTGACCAAGAAAACAGTGTTTTCTATCAATGGCACATGTTCAGTAATTCAGTTTATTTAGTTGTCCCCATATTTAGAGCTCAAAACACTTGCTCCAACTTCTCGACGTCATTTGTTACTCCAGGATTGATTGTGTTTTTGTTTTGTTTTTAGACTGCACAGCTTCACAAGACTCTTATACTTATTTGTACATATCTCCAGTTACCTTCACTACCCACTGACTTACTACTACACTATACCTGATTAAAACCGCTTCACTCCAGTGCACCAGCAGTTTTGTACATAAACATAATTATGCAAAGGCTCAGATAAACATAAAGAATCAAGATTAAGCTTTGCTGGATAATGCATAAAGCTACTGTCTTTATTGTTGTATTTCCCTCAATTCTTTAAACACTTTGTTAAATGTTCTTCATCAATGTGTATTCTTCTTTTTCTCTTCTCTGTCGTTTCCATCCATCTGGGTCTATGTTCCTGCAAATCGTTGGTCAACTGTAGAGACGTTTGGTATGCTCTCACTCTATGAGCCATCCCAAATCACAGAGGATCTAGTTGTAGTTTAAGTTTAAGTGAATGACTCATTCATGGCTCTGTGACTTTGGATATCTCAAGTTTGCTGTGACCATCATATTTCACAAGTTGCTTGCTCCATGTGAAATAGCTCCTCTCCCTGATATAGTATTTTAATAACTATTGCTCTGTTTGAACAAAAGACTTAAAGAGATGCAGACTAGCTTTTTGATTAAATGCATTGGCCATACTTTGATTCTTAAACATTCTTCACAAGCTCCTTGCATCACTTTATATTTTCACAGATTTTTCCTGGGTGTGTAGTTTTACTTGGACTTTTTGCTGTTTGTTATCAGCTTGCTTCCCCAGTAGCTGACCTTTGCCTGACCTTGCCCCTTTCAAAGAAGGAAGTGCATTATTACTATAAAACACTGTGAACTCTTTAATTAATTAATTAATTTTTTTCTTTTTATAGTGAAAGAGTTCTTAGCTAAAGCCAAAGAAGATTTTCTAAGAAAGTGGGAATGTCCTCCACAGGTATACATATTGTAAATACAAATTACGCATATTTTTATTGTAACATCATTCTGCATAAGTGAAATGAATGTTTTACTGTGAAGAAGCCAGGTTCATTGTTTTTGTTTTTGTCAGTGCACAACTGGCCTGGATGACTTTGACCGATTCAAGACATTGGGCACTGGTTCGTTTGGGCGGGTCATGCTTGTCAAACACAAAGGAACAAACCAATTCTACGCCATGAAGATCTTGGACAAACAAAAAGTAAGTTAAAGTCTGTTTGTGTTAAAGTAGGCTCTCTGTGCTTTACATTTTTAGAGGTCACTGACAAGTGCGCCTTACATCATTAACAAGGAAACTGAGTATTTCCGTTTGGGTACAGTTTTAGTAAAAAGAAACCGGGCGGCTTCTCACAATGCTTAAAGTGAAAGTTTGTGGTTGCCTTGAGGTGAGACACTGCAAATGAAAAGTTAAAAAAATCTTGATATATCTTGATATATGTTTCAGGTGGTCAAGCTAAAACAGATAGAACACACTTTAAATGAAAAGAGAATTCTACAGGCTGTATCCTTCCCCTTCCTGGTGAGACTAGTGTATGCTTTCAAGGTAAGTGTTGGACTGGACACAAATGAAAAGTTCAATATTATGAGCGCAGGTTTAAGTTTTCTAAACGAAACCTGAATAGACTAGATAAACAAAAAAAATCCCTCCTATCCCTCGTCCCTCCCATTCTATAGTCAGGACATCAGTCAGATGCATGTTTTAAACTTTCTTTCATCAGTATTATTTCACAGAAGTATTTAATAATGCTTGTATTGTACTATGAAAATGGGGCTGTGCAATATGACACATGTCATGAGAGAAATGCAGTTCACCAAACTGCCTGATTGCTCTGACAGGACAACTCAAACTTGTACATGGTGATGGAGTACGTGCCTGGTGGAGAGATGTTCTCCCATCTTAGACGCACTGGAAGATTCAGGTATTGTATACACATTTTTTCTCATTTATTTATTTTCATTTTCATCATAATATTCTTTGTTCTTTTCTAGTGAAAACCATGCACGATTTTATGCAGCTCAAATAGTACTCACTTTTGAGTACCTTCACTCTTTAGACCTCATCTACAGAGATCTAAAACCCGAAAATCTGCTCATAGATCAACATGGTTATATTCAGGTAGGCCTGTTGAATAATAACAATACTATTTTGATAGCTGGAGAGAATGTATTTATAAAGTACTTACTTTTTTTTTCAGGTGACAGATTTTGGCTTTGCTAAGAGAGTTAAGGGGAGGACCTGGACATTGTGTGGGACCCCCGAGTACCTTGCTCCAGAAATTATCCTCAGCAAGGTGAATATGAAGATGCCTGACAAAGGTGTACAGTCTGATGTTAAAGGGGTTAGGCCAGTATAGTCTGGAAACATATCTGTAACTGTATAAAAATGTAGTTTACATGAATAAAATCACTATTGTTTATTAACAAAGTTCATCCAGTAAAGCAATTTAGATCTATTTTATTTTGACAAATATTGCATGTTTTTTTCTTATTTTCCCTAACCTGTTTTTTCAGGGCTACAACAAAGCTGTGGACTGGTGGGCTTTGGGGGTTCTGATCTATGAGATGGCTGCTGGATACCCTCCGTTTTTTGCTGATCAGCCGATTCAAATATATGAAAAGATTGTATCCGGAAAGGTAGAAAGCATAATTAGATTTCATTGTGTTAAGACTATCTTATAAATTAGTAATCAATAACCTTCAATTAAATTATGAGTGTGTTATGTATTATGACTATTTCTTTGCTAAATGTTGCAGGTACGATTCCCTTCTCACTTTAGTTCAGATCTGAAGGATCTCCTAAGAAATCTACTGCAAGTGGACCTGACAAAGCGATTTGGTAACTTGAAGAATGGAGTCAATGATATTAAAAATCACAAGTGGTTCTCGACAACAGACTGGATTGCCATCTATGAAAGAAAGGTACTACTCACCCCCTATGGTGCTATCATTAATCTCTATAATATCTCTTGGTCACTTTGTGTTTCTAAACTTTGTCTTACTGCGTTTCACTCCTTTGATGCTGAAGGTCACATAGTTCCATTGACAATCTGATTTGTTTTAGATTGAGGCCCCTTTCTTGCCCAAGTGCAGAGGACCTGGTGACACAAGTAACTTTGACGACTATGAAGAGGAGGACATCCGCGTGTCTCAAACAGAAAAGTGTGCAAAGGAATTTGCAGACTTCTAGTGAATGGGGAAGAGTCCCCTAAGGACTCACAGTTAGGATGATTGCACTCCTGAGGTTAAATATGGAATTGAGGCTGTTACATTTGGAGCTCATTTCCAGTTCTTAAATTCCACTCTGTATTTAGTTGTGTGCCCTTTGCACAAAACATACACAGACACATTAGCCAGACATGTCTTGTCTTGTGAAGCAAAAAAATATATTTTTAACAATTCATTTTCATTTTAATTCCTCAAATCTGCTTTATAAGTGTTTCTTTTGATCAAAAATAATATTCAAAACCAATGAGGACTGAAGACCCTTTTAGTAACTAGAAGTGTGTTGAACATATTTTTCTCAAACTAAAGGGAATCTGTTTTCTTTCATCTTTCTGGGATTTTTATGTGTCAAACAGGCAAAGGTATTTTGGTAACCATTCTGCAATTCTGGTCACGTGACATTGCCTCTAGATATGCATATAGAGGAAGAACATGTGACTATAATTCTGATAAAACTCAATAGGCAGTGTGTTTAGTGGTTTATATTTCACACTGATAACAAGTTTTCTGAGTTTCAACATTTGACAGATGGGTATCTAGCAACATGCATCATATGAATTCACTGCTGTACTATTGTTACTGTAGCGTCTTTTTATTCATATCTGGTCATAAGACAGTTACTTTTACCTCAGCCTAAGTATGGCATTTATTGTATGAAGTAAAATTATATATTTTTCAGGTGCAACTTTCACAGGAAAGAAGGTAGCTATAGGTTTTAAATCACTCCATACAACTGAATATGATTCTTCTAATGAACTACCAAGTGCATTCTTACAGTAGACATTGGAGCAATGTGTGTGGTTATAGTGGCAATTTCATTTTATTCATTATCTTTGGAGCTAAGTCTTCCCCTGACATTCTGTTATTTTTAAAGTCATATTCTGTCTGTTTGTATGTAATCCTGTTCAAGTAGCAGTGACACAAAAAGTATCCCACCTTTTGATTTGTTATTGATGTTTCTGATTTATGGTTTTAGCCTGTGACACCTGCTGCTTCATTTTCAAGAGTTGCTTCCATAGTAGAAACAAAACAGAACCTCCAACATTATAATCTTAGTAATAATTAAGGGGGACATATTGTGTAAAATTGACTTTTATCAACCCTGTTATAACAGTGTTCTCTTATTATTAGCTTACTTAAAGTTGTTTTTCAATTTATTAATTTATTCATTCAATTTATTCCTGTATTGTTCTGCATTTCTGGTTTGGGTGCTCAGAAAATTTCTGTTTTCACCTACCCCCTCTCTTCAGACTCCAGATCAGAAATAGAGATTAAAAAACATTCATGTGGCAATTTAAAATTTTGAAATTTAAAATATAAACATCTGCTGCTATGGTAGAAATATCTCTATGAAGTGAGTCTCAGTTCTGCTATTTTTGAACAGGAAGTCACTGGAACTACTTTTATTGTTAAAATGTTTATATGTCCTTTTTACAGTCAATTATGGGGCATTTGATTTCAGGCCAACTTTGTAGTTTTGTAAATCAGCTTTAAGAATTGTTCAGCCCCAATGACTTGCCCTAGTATTGATTGTTGACTTGGGGTCCTAGGTCACAGGTTGTAGCCTTTAAGTTCAGTTTGTAGCATTGCGTTAACAGCCTAAGCTTCCAAAATGGGTTAGATGGTGTTTGACAGTGCTCACATTATAAGAGGGGATTAGGAAGTCAATCATAAATTATTGTGAAAATCAGGATTGAGGGAAAAGGCCCAGATCTTGTACTGTCAATCAATATTCACTTTGACTGACTTTGTCTATAGAGCACATGCATACACTTTCTTTTTTTTTTTTTTTGTAAACTGTAATTTCTTCCCAGTAGGTTTTGTATTGATTTCTATATTGTACTATTATTTTCTTCTTAGATGAACACTGGTAGGCTAAATGTAATTTGCAATGGTGTTTCCGCATGTACCAGAACTGCCTGTGTATAAATCTGATATTTCCAGGATTTTGTCTGAAATGTGCAGCTTCTGAAAATGTGTTTCAATGTGATCAATGTTTGTCATTATATGATCATGTAAATGGCAGCACTTTTCCTGAGCTCACGATCCCTAAATGGAGGAAATCACTATTTAAGCTCTTCACAACTGACCCAATTTCCCTTGCTGATCAGAAATCAAAATGGTCTTTTATTTGGTATGTGGCATTTTTGCACTTTTGTTTTACCAATATTTATTTACGTTTGCAAGGGGAGATACTATGCTGCAGCATATTTTATTGTTATGTCACTATAGTACATTTTTATTAAAAAACAGAAAATGAATTGCCGAAAGGGGACTGCTTTTGTTGTGTTTGACTGCCCCTGTTACTGTATTGGGAGAATTCGTGAGGTAGGCGGGTATCCTTCACTTGCGTAGTTCACATAGACAGTATTTTATGTATTATCCCCACGAGGTGTTCCTACAATATAATATTTAGCTGTACTGTAATTGTTATTACTGGTATTACACAATACAATTATAAAATACAGTAACTCGCTCTTCATTACAGAGAGCTGCTGGGTCGTTAAAAACTTCAATTCCCATGAATCTTCAGTGTCATGTGGGCGAAGGAAGCTAAACCGATACCGATGGAGAGGTGCTAGTTGTCTTTACTTGATTAAACCTAGATTTACATCAAATGTATATTGTGTTTTAATAAATCTAGATAGATTTTTTTAATAGACGGGATTTTGTTACCGTTATCGACTTTCTTTTGAAAAACAGGAAACGAACGTAAAATAAGGTTAGTAAAATTCTGTTCAGCAAACCCAGCTAAGTGTACGTGTTAGGTAGCTTATGGCCAAATGTAAAAAGACCTTCTGTATTGAAGTCGAGCAATTTTCTGTTAACTATATTATGGTCAATCGTTTCTTATTCCTTCTTATCGTTTCCCTTTCACAATGTCGTTAATTAAAATTTGGTTCATGTCTGTAATCCGCGGCAGTTTTTAACGTTGCGTGTTATTGTTTGCGTGTTGTCGTGAATTATGATACAGCTTTGTGTTTGGTTTCGCGTAATTAATGTTGTCCTCACAGAGCCATCTAGAGAAGGACGCTACAAGACAAACATGGAGATGCTAACAGAGTCTGTGAACTTCTGATGAAATTACGGCACTATCAGACACTGTAAGTTCCACTTTATTAGTCAAATTGGACCCGCTTTATTGTAATGTATCAAAGGTGAAATTTCATAATGTCATAAAGCCACAAGCTGTGCATTTATGATAAAAAGTAACTACTTATTACTAAGCATGTTGTTACATAAACACCCCGTATGTAGTCAGGTTCTAAGATATGTTTTTGACCTGTGTGTAACACGTGTTTGTTTACTTCCACTCATTTATAATAAACACAATATTCTTCCACAGACAAAATGGAGGAAAAGGCAAATGGGTCTGTTGACCTCAAAAGGTAAGCCCAATAGTTTTAGCAGCATCAGATTTGTGATATGTTTTGTCAGTCAACACTTGTCTATTGTGATCATATAGCCCTGTGGAAAATGGTCAGCTTCCTGACCCTGCCAACTGGGGCGTTGCTGATGTTGTCAATTACTTCAAAGCCACAGGATTTGAAGAGCAGGCCACTGCTTTTCAAGATCAGGTCAGAGTAGTTTTCTGATTCATCTATTTTTTTTTTCCAAATAATGAAGTTGACCTTTTATTTTAATCTCATAGGAAATTGATGGAAAGTCTCTTCTCTTGATGACACGTAATGATGTCCTGACAGGCCTGTCCATAAAGCTGGGACCTGCACTCAAAATCTATGAGTACCATGTGAAACCTTTGCAGACTCAACACCTGAAGAGTAATGTCTCTTAGCATCAATAGATCGTCCAAAAAACCCACCTCAATGACAATCAGTATGTCAGGTGACCCCAGGCTAGCTGCCGCTTTTCAAAGACTCCTCTAGTGGCACCTTAAGAGAATTTTTCAGTATGTTTTTATAATTGTACTCCCTAAAAGGGCTGCACATGGGGCCCACTATGCTGTTTACCTGTTCATTTATTCTTATACTGCTGCTTGAGATGTTGTATTTTATTTTCTGTTATTTAATAGAAGGAGATGTGGATATTTTGCAGGTATGGTGTGTTTGTATGTATGTGAAATGAGGTTAAACCTATGTTTTAAAAGTATTTATATACAAGATGGTAAATCTTTACCATTTACCATATACAAGATGAAATCTAGTACAAAACTGTTGTTGTATCATACATTGAATTTCTATGCTGATGCATCTCATAAATCTTCAATAGATCACTTAGTGATCACAACTGTGCAGCTGAGTCCATCTGTCCTGAGCATGTAATATTTAGTTTGTATTATCTCTAAACATAACCTTTGTTTATTCAACTAAGACTCCAAAATTAGATTATTTATGTGTAAATATTCCTTTTTGTGGTGCTTTACCATTGTAACTGAGACCGCTGTAATGAAGTGTGTATGACCAATGTGCAACAAAACACTGGCTCTATCCCTAAAAGATTTGCAATAAATGGTGCTGTTTTCTCACCAAAGATTACTTTAGGAGTTTGGCTTTTATTAGTGATGTTTAGAATGTAAATGACGGCAATAATAGTAGCTGTTTTATGTTATTTTGTGCTTATAGTTTGGCCTGTTGTTTCCGACCCAGAGTTCCTGTAATGTTTCCAGAGGGGTTATCAAGGGCAAGAAGAACCTGTAAAGCACAAGATGACCAACAAGGTATTAGTTATAAACAGTGAAAAACATCCAACAATTTTTTGCAGAACTTACTTCATCTTTGTTACTGAGACCCATCTTTGTCATGTCTATTGTAAAGTAGTGTTGGTTGGGCATGACCATCTCTATTTCATCAACCTTAAACAGAAATTATACATGAGTTACACAAAATTTTAAGGAAAAATGTTTTAAACAAAATGTTGCATAAACCTCCGGGAGTCGATCTAGGACCATGACCTGAGAGTCATAGAGTGTCTTCTGCACAGAGGGCGAGAACTCTCCACTGTCATAGGGACCAGCAAACTTCTCAATTATTGTATCTTTAACACACTTCCTAAAACATGAGTAAAACTCAATGTCATACTATTGTGCTTATTTTATTTGCAACTATGGGGTTAATAACTAATGACATACCATGCAGCATCAAAGTCAACATCAAGCACTTTGTTGTAGCGCCACTTAGAGTAGACTGAGGTGCAGAAACACCTGTCCTTACTGTCCTGCAGAGTTGTGAATCGATCTCTTAAGAAGCCTTCAAACCCAGACTGTGTAGTTTTCAGCATCTTCATGTCCTTGATTCCACTGTGAATAACTGGCACACCTTGAAAATATTTAATTTCAAAATAAGTAGAAATGGTTTATATTTTTGAACCTTTATGTAGGGGTGGGCCAAATGGAAAAATAATGTCACAGTTTTCTTGGAGCTTTGCATTTTTTCTTTAAGAGATAAATACAGCTTCTTCTGAAAGGTCAATGATTGGTTAAATGCAGATTTCAGTATGTCAGAGCCCTAAGGATAACCAAGGTAAAATGTGGCTGTGTTTGAGCAGCCAGGTGCTTTAAATGGAGAAATAGTGAAACACAATATGGCCAAAACTGCAGCTTGTCACAGGGATGTGATCTTAATTCTATTTTTGTCATACTGCTCAGTCCTACCTTAATCCTTAACAAAATGTATGCTTAAAAATAAATATATACAGTATTCAAATGTAAAAAAAATAAAATCAAAATTACCTTTAAGATTTTGCTCAACTTCACAAAACCGACCAGCTTCAGGACTGAAATGAACGCATGAATATGCTGGATACCATTCTGAAAAAGTGTTTAATATTGGTAACTAGTAAAGAATCACATCTGTAATTTAGTCATTTTTACCTTCTCTAGCCTTCTCCATGGAGCCTCCTCCATGTAAACTTTGGCCCGTAGGACATGGTCAAATTCAGTCAGAAAATGATTACAAATATCCAGGGAAAACTGTTCAATATTCTTTACCTAAAGCAAAATGTGCATTTAATATTATAATAGACATTTTATTCCTTAACTGAACATTCACACACCAATTTTACTTTGTCAAAATGTTGACGTTAAAAGAAGCATACTTACCCCTTTGATTTTGGCCAGAGCATGCACAGTGTTCTTGACGGTATCAGTGGGGATGATGTCTGAGTTGTCTCCGAATAAATAGTCTTTACGAGTTTTCAGTGTGAGTTCCACATTGGCTTTCAGCTCAATAAGGTCATGATGTTTTCCATGTCTCTTTATAACCAGCACCTTCACAGCATTCTTACCATAGCCTGTCCGCACAAACTCTACATTCTGTTGACACAAAGTAAAAATAAAAGAACGTCAACATGGGAGCCTACTCTGAAATGTACTTATTTTTTTTAAAACCTTCACTTCACTTAATTACCTGATGGGTTGCCATCACCTTTCTGGATCTTTACCTGATGTCTGACTCTCCTGCAGGTTTAACCCCAGACAGAGGGGGATTTTGTGCAAGAGGCGGACCCAGTTTATTATGCAAGAGAGGTTACCTGTTAAACTGACCCGTTATTCTTAACATATCAATACTGGCTAATTTGTAACATTTTGCCAAATACATTGATGAACACATGTTTTATTTGTTAATAAGTGATTAGAAGAAGCAATTTACGTAGATAAGCTATGCAATAGCAGAGACAAAATCCTCAAATATAGATGCACAATAATTTTACTTAAATGCAACAAATAGCTTTGAAAGCAGATCACATTTGAAACTTCTCCTTTTCTATTCTGACCACTGTTCCCTCAGACTCCTTTCATTTTGTAAACTTTAACACCAAAAGAGAAGCAAAAATGTCATGTCAGGTTTGTCAGGTGACAGAAATGTCTTATGACTTCCTTTCTAGCAGCTGTGCTGTACATGCAAATTTAAGTCCCGAATCTGCTTTATTCTTTTTTGGTTATTCAGTGACTGATGTGGAAGATGACCAGGGTGGGCTTATATTTCTACTACATTCTTTTGTTATGTTGTACAGCAATATGCAATGCAGCGATTTCATGCAAAAATGAAGCCGGTGAGCCTGTTGATTGGTGAGTTGACATGATTTTATTTTAAACTATTAGGGGGAAGGCCAGTCATTGTTTTAGTTAGTAATTTGTTCCACCTGTTCTGACAGGTTTGCAATTTACAAACTACCTAGAAGGAAAATAGGTGAGCTGGGCAGTGGGGTGGACTATATGTACCTGGATTCTACAACAGAGAACTGGCAGATGAGTCCATTTATGGTGAACACGACTCAAGGGGCCCTGGGAAGAACCCTCAGTCAGCTGTACTCAGGACAGGCCTATAAGGTGAGATGTGATTAACTGCAAGTTCTGTATTTAAAATATTCAATTCTTACTCTTTAGTTTTGTTAGTCCAACAGCTCTGTCTATGCAATCTACAATGATGCACCACCAATGCTAAAGTACAAAGTGGACTATGGACACACAAAAGGTATAGTGAATTTTACAGTTATTTAAAAAAGCACTTTTCTTTGTAATGTACAATATAAGATTAGGGATATTTTGTAGCTGTGTAATAAACCAAGAGTTCTGGGTCAGGAGGCGTGTATGGGCAAAGACCATCTATCAGATAACCACTGTTGACTCAGTGACTCTTCAAAAATATTATACATGTTTAATGTTATTCCAGGTTTTGTGAGCTCTGTTGTTTGCGTCAGACAGGTATGATGTTCTTTGACCGATGTCAAGGTTTCTGGCTGTCGCACACAATCCCCCATTTCCCTTCGTTCCCTGAAAAAGGCTACATTTATCCCAAGTCTGGAAAAGTCAATGGTCAGACAGCTCTGTGTGTCTCCTACAAATACGAACAGTTCTTCCACATTGGTAAGTAAAAGCAGGGGCTGATACACTCCTGGGCTGTAGTTGACCAAAGAAATTCTTAGTGGACTGAAGACTGAAGTAAATCATTTTGATGACAAAAGCTCTCAAACATATTATGGTCTTGCACAAAAACAACTATGTATACAGAGAGACATCTCTATGAGTGAAAAGAAAGATTAAACTATCCCATCACTCCCTGGATTTTTTCATGCCCTATGCCAATACCTATTGTACTGGATCTGGGGAAGCCATTGACCGATCTTTTTGGGCTGATATGTAAGGCTGATTCTGATTATTTTCCCCAATTTCTTTTATTAAAAGTTACTACAACCTCATCCACAGTCCTTTTAACCACAAACCAATAAGAGAGCCATGTAGTCAGATTTTGTGCAATTATTGCTTCTCACTAAAGTGTTAAAAAATATCAGCCTGTGCTGGAGAGTTAAGGGCAATAGCCAATATGATAAAAAGTGCGATATATTGGTCCTTCTAAAAAAATTCAGCTAACTCAAATCATACATTCTGTGGTCCATCCTTACAATCTTAATAAGAAATTCTAATTTGGTCAACTTAAGACACATCAACTGATTAAACTTGACTAAATGACTACAGAGCCACCACAACACATTCATGTCTAAAAATTAACTTAATCATAATAACATAATGTGATCACAATATTCAAAAATTTAGACTACTGAACACTTGAATATACCTGTCATCTATCTGCTCAAATCCAAAAAGATAGATTTTGAAGATCTGTGAACCTGATTTAGTTTTGCCTTTTTTAGTCAAGCAACTTCTCTACATAAATCCACGGTTCTTCAACTGCTCTGTACCATCTGCTTTTTCTCCTGACTTTGGGCGGTTGGCGAAGTTATGTGAAGACACTAAACTGCCCCTTGACACAGACCGAAGAATACAACCATTAATGTCTCTCAAAGGGGAAAAGTTTGTCAGTTACGTCAAATCCGGACAGTTTGTGGATGGTAAGCTATTCATGAAAGTGTTAACTTTTACATAGGTTTAACAATAGGAGTCTGACCTATAGTGTTCAGCTCTAGTCAAATGAAGCTCACGATACTAGCGGTTATGGGAGCAAATTTGGAGCCGAGTTCCATATTAGGAATTTATTTACGAACAAAATAGCGAGATTGTGAGACCAGGATTCTGGAGAGCAGGTTAATACGGACATTTTAAGATCAAAATGACTAGGCTCACAGCAACAGTTGAAGAGAGAGAGAGAGGGATGACAATTTTTAAATGTAAAGTCAATTGGAGTCAAGAAGGGTATAAAGTGATTTTCCTGCACTTTTGTGGTTCATGTTCAGTCCATGCACATTTAGTGCGATACTTGATACTTTTTTATCTTTTATTTTACCTACCAATTGTTTTTGAGTATTTGGTGTACAATATTTGATGCATCAAAAATATCACATCAACAAAAACGAATACAATGGATTTTAGAAATTAACATTGTCCTGGTCTGACACTGATGGCATTATGTAACAGTTAACACATAGGAAATAAACAGCGAGTAATTGGGCCATTGCTAGTAAATGATTAAGCATTTTGTGTTCTGACTTTTCCTTGAGTTTAGTGAAACCGCACTAACCCTGACGCCCTGTTTGCTCAGATATCTATGCCGGCTGGGTGGCTCAGCTCTTGGCCGTTGACCTGTTGGTGGAGACTTGGCAGACTACAGAATATGCACTGCCATCTAACTGTACACTGCCCCAGCACACTCTGAACATCTGGAGGATCCTAATACCAGGGTCAAGGCGCTTCCTCTCCCGCCACGATCACTCAAAGTGGTGTGTGTCCCGGGAATATGAGGCACAGCTCACCTGTTTGGGAGATTTAAACCGAGAAAAGACCCAACTGTGGAGAGGAGGGGGGCTGACTTGCACCAACAACCCACTGATTTATAAAGCCTTCAGACAATTAGTGGACCAGTACACAGAATGTTAGGGACAACAAAATGAGACTAACTGTAATATTGTGTGTGAATTTATCCCTTTCATTTCTATATAAACTTATTGTTCAAAAAAATCAGGTGGACATTATTTTGGAAGGCACATAAAATAGAGGGATGAATAATTAACATAAGGAGTGGGCAATATTACAAATATTTATATCACATTACAACAATCTGCTTTTTTGAAAAGGTCAAACATTAAATTAAATAAACAAAATAAACTACTAGCTAGCTTGTGACAGTAATTTTTACTTTAGTAATTTTAATTTTACTTTGTTTAACAGCACAAATTCATCCAAATACCATCCAAGTCAGCTCTTTCTGGTTAGATTAAGGTTATCTAGAGTAACAACGCATGTAACAGAGCAGTGCCTTTAGATAGCTTCACACCCCCAGGGAATATTAATTACATTAGCTGCAGTCAAGTGACATTTGGAAAACAAGGATTTTAGTAGGCAGGCCTATAAAACAATACTTAAAGGTTTAACAAATGCCTTGAGTATCTATGCATTCATTTAATACTTTTGTTACATTTGGGTTCATTGTAGGTTAAGAGGGAGAAACTTGAAATGACCTGCACATGTAAAACCAGTCCTGTTTTAGGGGTGGTCTTGTTGCCACTCTAGTGCACCTGTTGTTCATTTGATGGCATCCTTTTGTTCCTAAGACATTGCCCTGTCCAGATTTGTATAGATATCCAACATGTTCATTTTTTCACATTGAAATCTGATGTGTTTTCAAAGTTATTTTTTTGAGCAGTCTTCACTTTTGTTTATTTTTCCTGACAGAGACAATGAATTCTGTGCTAGTTCTTGTTTCATGTAGAAAAGCCCAGTAATTACATATTAATCATAACAACAAATGAGTAATCTGACAGTTAAATAGCAACTTCCACCACAGAATTCTAACCCATTTTCCAGCTTGATCAACTACATAAAATGTTGTGATGTCATGTGAAGTCAGCCAGTAGAAAAGCCTTATTCATGTTAAACCTGTTTAATCATACTTGACAAGAACTGACGTTGATGTGTTGCAGCCAGACCGGTTGGATAAGAATTAAAATAGATCTTGACCAAAGCTTGCTTATGTCAAAATCTTGTATTTTGACTGTAAGATTAGGCTAGGCATTATTTCTAATTTAGCCTCAAGCATTTTCGTCACAATTTTAATGGAGTTATTGTAGCCTATATTGTCTTGCTAATGTTAATGGACAAATGAACTACTACTGCTACTACATGAAATATAGTTGTATAGTATGACTGGTTTTACTTATTTCCCTGTTGGTGATAGGTTGTAATGATGTTTTTATTAGATCAGAGCATGCCTGTGTTAATGGGAGGAACAAGGAAGAAGTGATGTGTGCTTGTTACTTTCGTTCTGTGTTAAATAAACCTGCCATGTTAAAGCTTGCACTAGACAACTGGGGATGGCTCTGACTGTGAGTACAATGCTGCTATACTGTAATAATAATAATAATAACAATAATAATAATAATAATACATCAAACTTATATAGCACTTTTTTGGACACTCAAAGACTCTTTACAAACATTAGGAATAGTATAATAATACTGTAATGTTATGAGAGCATGAGTTGGCTTATTTGGCAATATGGACTTGTTTTAATGAATATTTTTAAGATACATGTACGGTAAAATGGTATTTGTGTATTTGTGAATAAAATTGTAATTGGAAGATGCTATTTCCCTTAGCTAGTTCCCCCCAGTCTGAGAGCCACTCCCTGTAGGTCAATTAACTTTCTATGAAGCTGTATGTACATTAATATTTAGATAGATTTGATATATTCTACAATATTGCTGTTGTAAATCTATATATTTCAGAGAATATGGAGACTGTTACTGTGTCTTGGCACACTGCAAGCTACACTGGGTCAGTCCAATGTGGCATGCAGAAACGACAGAGGAGAAGAGGTCGACTGGTTGGTGAAACTCAAATTGTCCATCTAAAACTCACTATAATCACATATAATAATAACAATACTATTCATTTGAATTTAGGTACATTTTATACAAGTTGCCCAAATCTAAAGGTGATGGGCTGAATTACTTGTACATGGATGAAAGAACACAAGGATGGAGGGAAAGCGTGGAGAAGATCAACAGCCCAAAAGGGTCAATGGCCAACACTCTCACACCTCTTTTTGACTACTACAAGAAAAAGGTGAGAAACTATGTATATCTGATTAATAAAATAAATTAACTAATTGACAATAAAGTACAAATTATAGGTTAGACTATGAATTTCATCAAAGCTTAGACATGTTATGCACTTTTTACAGAAATTGTACCTTGATTTTCATAATTTGATCATTTTGGTGATTTTTATTATTCTACTTCTTGGTTGTATATGGGTAGCAGCAATATATGTAAAGAATTCTAAAATTCTTCACAACCATAATGTAAACAATAACCACACCTTTTTATTTTGTGTATAGACATGTATAGAGGGATTTTTTTTTTATTTACAGAACTACTACTTCCTGTATATTTTTTATTTTTTTCAACTTCTCTTAACTGCAACTTGACTGATAAATATTTAGCACTTTACTACACCAACCTAACATAAAATTGTAAATTTAAACATGCTGCAAATTTGTGGTTTTAGACTGAAGGATTTGGGTTTATGCTCTACAATGATCAGCCTCCAAAAGGTCTTAAACCTGCCCCAGCATCTTTTGGGCACGCTAAAGGTGGTTATTTGAAATGTATATTACATGTAATTTTGTATCATGTTTTACTATTGTTATTTCTCATTTCTAATACAGGGGTTGTGATGTTGAACAAAACATCTGGAGTCTGGCTGGCTCACAGTACACCACAGTTTCCTTCATACCAAAGTGAAATGTTTTGGCCAAGCAGCGGGACAAACAATGCTCAGACCTTCTTCTGTGTAACTTATGCTTATAGTGAATTTAAAAAAATAGGTAGGTAAATAATAATAATGTAACTTTCTCTTGTTATTCTTTTGTTTAAAAAAAAAAAATATATATATATATGTTTTAGGTGTCCATCTTAAATACATCCATGCATTCCCATTTGATTCTGTATTCCCAACATATTTTTATGACGAGCTAAAATGTGTTGCACAAAGAAGTTGCTACCCAAAAGCCAAGCCTTGGTTTAAGGTCACAGAGCTGATTTCACTGAAAGGACACCATTTCAAGAGCTTTGCAAAATACACACGATTTAATGATGGTAAGTTTCTATTCCACAACCATGGAGCTTGAGAAATGAACTGTCTGAGTTATTGTGATTTTATTCTTTTTAGATCTTTATGCTGGCCTTATTGTGAACTTCACAAAACAGAATATATATGTGAAGAGTTGGGGAAGTATGCGTCAACCATTGCCATCAAACTGCACTCAAATCATCCCTCATTTTGTGTACAACATTAAAGAGGTGAATCCTCACAGGAAGGGGTCCTTCCCTGACACTGTGGACCACTCAAAGTGGTGTGTGACAGCTACAGGGGACTTTACCTGTGTGGCTGATATGAACAGGGAGGTCTCTCAGATGGGCAGAGGTGGAGGGGCAGTGTGCACTGATGACACCAATGTCGGGGAAGCATTCCTCACAGCTGTTTACAAGACCCAGCCATGTGACGACCCACAACTTCCCGCTGAAAATGGAGAACATAACGACAAAAAGTGAACAATGACAAAATTAAGTAGCCTACATTATGTTTATGTATACCTTTATCATACACTCTTCGAAATGATTGTGTTTTAAATTGTGTTGAACTCACACTGTTGTTGTTGCTGCGGCTATTTATAGCCTGTAGTGCTGTAGCCTAAATAATATCTACATAAAGAACTACTGACCTACACATTACAAACAGATGTCTGTCCTTTCCACACGGTGTCGCACATTTGCTAAACCAAAGCCCATTGATATTCACTTCCTGTGTTACCGGATGTGGACGTCTGAGCAGACTGCTGAGAACACGTGAACGCAAGAGCAACCAAAACACACACAATTGACACAAAAATGGATATTACCGAGGTTCCTGTGAGTGAGCAGAGTAAAGGTAAGAAAAAGAAGAACAAGAAGATGAAAACGCAGAGAGTGAGTGAGGAAGCAGACCCCCACGACGGCGATGTTGACACGAAAGACGGTGTGAAGCTTGAGAAGACTGAACCTGGTCCTGCATTCCCCCCAACTTTCAGTGTGTCCGAAATCAAGAACAAACAACGCAGGCATCTCATGTTCATGAAGCTGAAGCAGGACAAAAGAAAAGTAAATATTAGTTAAAATGTACTGTATTGAGTTATTTACCAGGTGCTAGAAGGTCTCGAATTACAGTAGCAATACCTGTCATTTTGTCTGTGGTGAGAGCTCTGCATTCAGCAGTTTCTTGGTTTTGTGATTTTAGCAAAAGATGATGCTGAAAAAAAAGAAGAAGAAAGAGCGAGAGGCTTTAGGTGACAAGGTATGTTTGCGTCATACATCTTGACAAGAAAATGCTCGGAATCTTGCTTTGATTTGTTTTGTTTCTTTTTTCTGTTTGTTTTTTATTTTTTTAGGCACCTCCAAAAGAAGTCCCAAAGACCATTGAAAATCAACGGGTTTATGATGAAACTACAGTTGATCCAGATGATGAAGAGGTAAAATTAGACAAACAAGGGGACAGGCTGTTTTTCTGATTGCATTTTAATGTCTACATAATACTCACCTTTTTCTCTTGATCAGGTCAAATTTGATGAGGAAACGGATGAATTTGCTGCATACTTTAATGGACTGACAAACCCCAAAGTCCTCATCACAACATCAGATCGACCAAGAGGAGTAAGACCTTTACTGAAATCAAGAGGCTTATAATCACCTGTTCAGATTATACATAATTATTTGAGTGTGTGATATTTGTAATCCTACAGAGAACAGTAAGGTTTTGCGAGCAGCTAGCAACAGTAATTCCCAATGCCCATGTGTATTACCGAAGAGGTTTGGCTCTAAAAAGAATCATCCCACAGTGCATTGCAAGAGACTTCACCTACCTCATGGTCATCAACGAGGACCGCAAAGTGCCCAGTATCCTTTTATATCTGAATGGGGCCTTTATTGTATCTGATACTGTAATGGTATAACGATTGTATGTATTAAAAGAAGTGTTTTCATTTAACCAACTATTAAGATGGATTGGTGCTCTGCCATTTACCCGATGGCCCAACAGCACACTTCAAAGTCAGCAGCGTTAGACTACGAAAGGAGATAAAGGCAAGTTCAATTTGAATTATGATTCATTTTAGAATTGCAATGAACAAATATTTTGCAAATCAATTACACTAGGAATTATTCTTTGATTAATTGATCAATCTTAATATCCTGAAGGAGTTTAGTCAATTTGAACTTGTCGTGTTGACATTCGTGGCCAAGGAATTCATGTTTATAACTTATTAACTGGTGAGATTGGCAGCCATGTGCAAAACCACACAAGCCAATGGCAGCTCCTGAATAAACAAGATAACGCTTCCATGACTATTTCAATAATCATTTGTTTCAGCCATTGTTCATTTAAAAATGCTGAATTTTTTTCCACATAACACAGACCATATTAATGTTAAAATTACAGAGACGTGGCAAGGATCCAACAGACCACCACCCAGAGGTCATTCTAAATAATTTCTCTACTCGTCTGGGCCACAGCATTGGCCGGCTGTTTGCTGCACTTTTTCCACAGGATCCCCAGTTTGTGGGTCGGCAAGTCGCTACTTTCCACAATCAGAGAGACTTCATCTTTTTCAGATTCCACAGGTATTTTATATTTAAAATAAATCTATTCATTTAAATGTTGTATTAATCAGTCTTCTGCTTGTTTTTAAGATACATCTTTAAAAATGAGAAGAAAGTTGGAATTCAGGAGCTAGGACCTCGCTTTACACTTAAACTCCGCTCTTTACAGAAAGGCACATTTGATTCAAAGTTTGGAGAGTATGAGTGGGTCTTGAAGGTGAGTTTGATTTTCTCTTTTTCTTATTAATTTAATAATTAAGAGTTAATGTAGTCATTCTACTTTAACAAATTTTATTGTATTGTGCAGCGTCATGAGATGGATTCCTGCAGAAGAAAGTTCCAGCTTTAAATGAAGAGCACTACATTTCCTCAAAGTTGGACTATACGATTTTTGTGGACCTTCAAAAAGGAGACTGGACTCGGAAATGTGTAACATTTGTAAGGTCGCTCTTAGCGCTTGGAAATTCAAAACCAATGAACACTGGTGGATGCCTGGTTTATGCAAGATTCCATGTGGCTTCTAAGGCTTTAGTCTAGAGTACTTTGTTGGAGAGTTGTGTGGCAGGAGTGCTAACGAGCTTCACCATTAAAGAAAGTTACACAAAATATCAATTAACTTTAGCCGCTTGCTCTATGATATTGAACTATGAACTTGAACTATTTGCTCCAGCCCTTTGTGTATTATCCCTTACCTCTTTGTCGCCTACGTCAAAAACACACTGAATCGGAGAATTTGGAAAAAAAGTTGATCCATTGTAAAATTGTAAAATACTATTCACAGAGTTTGTTTAGTACTGGTTCAAACAATTGTCATAAATCAATACATGTGTCAGAGGTTTTTTTTTAAAGACATTATTCCAAATGGATGGATTTGTTGCCTTTTTTTTCTGCAGTTTAATGTCAAAACTGCATTGCTTGACTGCAGCAGTGAGGACAGACCAGTCAATGCTTAATTCTCAAGCCAATAACAGTCATGGAAACAATTACGGCAACAAAAGCTGTAAAATACTAATTTTATTTTCCCCAGTTAGTTATGGAAAAAAACATGTTATAAAAAGGCACAATGTGGGTTAGATACATCTTTACAAGTAGGAAAGTCATTTAGTAGGCATATAGACCTATGGAAATGTCAGATTTGTCAATATAACACGTACAAAAACACAATTCTTAGCCACAAATTAATACTCCTGAGACAATCCAGTCCATGAAGCAGAGGAAGTCACACACCATTGCAATATCCAAGACCTAGGGGGGGAAAAAGTTGAAGAATATATTGACTGCTTACTCATGAGGGCCCTATCAAATCCGAAGCGCCTTTTTCAATACTATGTGTGCTACTCACTGAGGCAGATGAGGTGCTGCTATAGGAAGGAGCAGACTTTCTGCGGTCGAAACGGGTTGTTACTGGAGGACATGCCGGTGAGGAGAGGGTCGTGCTGGGCGTTCTGGAGGCAGAACTGCTGTAGGTCCGCTGCGGCCTGGGACACCTGTGGATCAAAAGAGGCAAATATTCAAAACCATTCACGAGGAAAACATGCAAAAGGAGCTACAGCGATAGACATGGTTAGACAGGAATCCATCCGAACACAATGTTTTCGTCCTAAATAGAATCCTTCTGAACAACAATGTTAAGTGAAGTCTAGCACTACACGCCCTAAAACTTCTCTTTGGCTTTACCTTTACTCTGTTGAGGCCTGCTTCGAGGCGCAACTGCAGCACGATCTTCTTCATCGCTACAATGTTGGATGAACCAGACATTGTGTCAAATTTGGATTCGTGTTTCGTTCTTTAAGAGATAAACTGTTGCTGGCAGCTAATGCTAATGTGCTAACAAGTTCTGTATCAGGAGAACACCCTTTTCCGGTTATCTTTAAAGGCACGCCCCCTAGCGCCGAATAAACCACTTTACACACAGACCCCTTTACAACAGGCTCACGCTGCTGTACAATATTTTAGTGTCATTTTACCAAATGTTGTTTCTTCACGTCTATTTTAAAATGACCATTGACTATATTCATTGTGCACTGCATGACAAGTTTATGATGACACCACAAGAATAGTAGACAAAAATAAATTTTGTCTAGTAGACAAAATATTCTAATCACCAATGAAAGAAAGAAACACATTATAGACCCATATGTGCTGTATAATGTGATAATTATATTATATGAATTTTTTAAATCTCTAAATTTATGGTGTGTCTTTTTCTTTTTTGTGACCCCCACTTTTACTGCAGTTGTCATCATCAGCACCAGAGCAACCAGTGCTGGCACCCTCGTAAAAGAAATTCCATTGGCTGTGAGTGAGTTGCATTAAACTGACTGGGCAGTCTAAGCCTCCACCTGACGGGAAAAAAGACCCCACAAACACAACTTCATTTTAGTGGATTTCCAACCTGCATCTGAAATGGACTTGCCTGTTTCTGAGTCGCCAACACATCCCGAGGAGAAGAGGCCAGTCAGCTGTAAGGTAATGTGAACTGTTAATTACAGCATATTAATAATGTAATCTAACCAGTGAACAAAGTGCATATACTGTCTGTGTTGTGTCCAGTTTGTGGAGCTTCATGTGCTCTATGTTCCCAATGACCAGTGGAACGTCAAGCTTAATAAAGTCCCTGTGGAAGCCATCCACAGTTTTGTATCTGGTGGCTTCATCAGGTAAGAAAAAGCTCAGTGTAAATGTAACCAATTATGTGCTGTTTTTTTTTTTTAATCTACAGTCTGTAAATAATAATAATATATTGTGTAGAAACAAAACAAGAAATGTACATGCTTTATATGAAATTGCTTCATAAAACAGGAAAACACCTCAACAAATCAAATATTATGTTGTAAAATCTACTATATAACTTTTTGCTGGGGGTCTGCATCCAGCTTGTCTCTGTAGTGATGCTGTTGCTTTGCCTAGAATTTTCCACAGTATGAAATGAAACATATTTATATCGCATTCATTAAAGTGTAGGTTATAAATTGAAAAAAATAAATAAATAAAATAAAAGATCACAGATCCGACCTGTAACTTGGCCTGGTGGCATCACCTGATTGTCTCCACGTAGATAGGTACGTTTAATGTCATACCGTGTAACATTCTAAACAAACCAATAGTTTCCATCAGGTGACGTTACATAGTGCAGATTTACAAAGTTTTAAAAAATTAGCCATATGACCAGTTTAATGCACATTGTATTTGTATTTAGTTGTACAAATGTGCATGTAACTTTTGTTTTGTTTATTTCAGAGTTTATCCAGATGTCACTTTGAAATCTTTGAGGAGAAAGCTGAGCACGCTACAAGGAGGCTCATTGGGCTCTATAGACAAGTTCTTCTTTCTGAAATGTGTGGGCCACAGTTTGGCGCTGGTGAGTGCAGTCCGCCATTTACTGCTGTTTTCTATTGCTGCTTGTGTCCCACCAGGCGGATAGTAAAAGGTAACAATGGCGACAGTTTGATGAACAGGTCCACTGTTCAAGCACACTACACTAAAGGATATAAAGCTTGCTGGGTTGTACACTGTGTTTTTACTGCCTTGTCTTTCTCATCAACAAAAGTCTCTGTTTATTACAGGTCAAAACCAAGCAAGAACGAGATGTGAAAGTGAAAACATTTGCTCCTCCATATGTACGTAAATTGTTTAAATATGTCTGTAGTTTCAGTGGTTATTTTAATGCTAGTGAAAGTAGTGAAACCTTTACACAGCTGTTTTAAAATATACTGTGATATTATTTAATTAATATTGTAAAAACACTCAAAATAATTTCTTAAGAAAGAGTGAGGTTATTGCGAAAAAGAATACTATTAATGTAACTAGTTTAAAGTTGTAACCAGTGTTTTCATATTGTGTGATTGTGTTCTAGGCCCCACAGCCGGAGCTTTATTTGCTGCGTCTTGCTGATAGTGATGACAGTGTCTGGTCACAGTCCCTCACTCCAGACA